CTCTAATTTCTTTCATTTTCATACTTTTAATATGTACAGTTAGTCGTGCTTTAATTTTTCTCACGTCTATCTATGGTAACAGTGACTGTTAAGACAATATTCGTGAAAGAAAAGTCGAGTAATCGAATTTCGGCTCAAAATGCCTTTTTTTCTCTCACCTAAGAAACAATAGTCATCGATTTTTTTGTGATCTATCAACTAGTACGATGACCTAAAAAAAGTTGAATTGTTTTTTTTCTTCTTTTCTTTTCTTAGTATTCTATCTTCTTCATTTTTTTATTTGAAAAAAAAAACAGAATCTGCACGTTATTAAGAACATTGTGCAATGTGAAGTTTCTTTTTTGTTCTTTTTCACTTGCTTGCTCGATCTCGCGTTTTCGTTATCGCTCTTCTTTTCTCAAAACAATTGTTGGTATTTTCTCTTCTTTCTTTGTTTTTATCTTTCTTTCCGTATCTATGTGTCAGTGTCTTTTTTAACTCCTTGAATGAAGTTTTTTGACACACAAATAAAAAAAAAAAACATACTTACCAGAAAAACATTAGTAATACGAAATGTTTTTTTCAAATGTGATAGAATGCTTTTCAATGATAAAATTTCTGTTGAAAAATTTGAAATCACTGCAGTATGATGGTTAAATAGGCATTGGGTTCTTTTCTTTGTAAAAGAAAATTGAAATTACACAATTGTTGAGGAATTGAAGTTTTCAACATAGAAAAATTGGATATAATGATTCGACAGTACGACAATGTTTTCTATCAAGACATATCAGCGAGTGTAAATGAAGATAATACACATTCGCTCACTCACACCCTAGTCATATTGCACTGATTAGAAAAGCTATGTCAAATAATGAATCAGAAGCACATACAATAATAACAATACTTGATGTTGACCATATATATAGGCAAAATTAACGAAAACGCCACATGGTCATCTTTGATTCTTCATAAGGGTTATTTTTTCGAACAAATTCTTTTAATATGAATATGTGGAAAAATATTGGTTCTTTCAACTTACATTTAATTAAATCTAATTAGCGAATAAGTCTCTAAAGTAATGGTAGAAGAGTTCAAGAATTTCAGAGTAGACTTCAGTCCATAGACTATATCTATGGTGAACTTTCAACAAGATAGGACTCTCAAAAATTGCTTTCCAAAAAACAAATAGTTTTCTAGATGTCTGCTCTTGTTCTTGAACGAGATTTTTTCTCTTGTTATCTTCTAATGATTCTCAAAAAGTGTTTTTACTATTTAGAATTGTTTTTTGCGCTGCTGATTAGTTACGGGAGGAGTTTTCGTTCCTATATTCGCACTCACTCACACCGATAACTTTGAATAAACTCAGTTTTTTGAAAAATGTACACTTGTCCAGGAAAAACTTTGTGTAGCGATTTGGTAGGCTGAAGATTATTCTACAAAATGCACTATTTAGTAGTCAAAAATATTATTTGAACTTGCATGAGTTGTAAATGGAAACGTATGCATTGAAAACCTCTCTCCTTCTCTTTGTCTTGCGTTGCTAATGCTAGTTTTTAAATAAAAAGTCGTTGCTGAAAGAAATGGTCAAATCACATTGCTAATGAATGAATTTAGCTATATTAATAGTATTTGGTGGTATGATTAAATATTCTGATGATGATATTAATAAATTTTAATGAATCATCACGAAAGAGGAAATGAGATTTTAGTTTGTTTCTTGTTTTTTTTTTCTCTTTTATAAATATATGAACACGCAAAAGATATTCGCAAACAAGATTATTTTACTGACAATGGCGAATTGCTTGCTGATAAAATTGATGCATCAATATTACTTAATCGTTTAATGTATAAACTATGTTATTATCGTTTTGATGAATTACAAATTGAATATTGATCATCATCTTGGTAAAATTTTCGAAGAAAATAGTGAGCATAAATTTAAATGGAAGTTTTTCCAGTTTTCCCTCACTACACTTTAGTGACCGAGATAAACAGCTTAGTTGGAGAAATGGAAAAGATGAAAGTTTCAAAGACTCAAGATTTTGGTAATAATTGTACAAGTTTAATAAAAGTACTAGTAAACATTTCATTACAATTAATATGTAAACGAGTAAATCGAATAGCAAAGAAAATTGGATTGATTTTATCAATTACTGATTGATATCATGCTGCAGAACAAGAGTCTGCAATAGTAAACTGGATATTAGAAGAATATTGAACAGTTTGTAAGAATTTATCATTTGCGGTAACTTCTGTATGCTTCGGAAGATCGAACCATATTCTATGTGAATGAACTGTACCAATAAATACTGTACGAGTCGTTTTAAGTTAAAAAATCCATTGTCGTTTAGTCCAAAATGGTGAATTAAATCGATTGATTAACACACTGAAATAATCACATTCACATTTATTATATAGAACTTGATGATAATGATTAAAGTCCAATCTACGCAAATGCGGTATATGCTGTACGATTAATTGTTCCCATCGATCAGCATCAAGGTAAGCTATATCATGGTATGTAGTAGTACGCAAGACTTCCAATTGAGAAGAAATTTTCGTGATAAATGTTGCACACTTATCAAATTTCAAACAACAATGCGCAATAGAGATATATAACAAATGAGATAATATTAATCTATCTTTGTTTTCCCATGATGCTATCCAAATTTATCAAATATTTACATTGTAGACGACGAAGTTGAGGTGTATACTTAAGTAAAGAGATAAGTTGATTAACACTGCAGTCATGATCCATGACTAAATATTCGATAGTGCTAAATTGTACCTTTACAGCTGATGATATGATAAAATTTGATTCTTTATTGTCTAATAACGACAGTTTATTATATTTCAAAATACGTAAATGATAAATCATTTAATAAATATCATTGAAATTATAAGAATAACCGATTTTAAGATAAATAGTTAGTGAGAAGAGATGAGGTAGAATTTGTAAATAAAGAAAAAGTATCTGAAGTTTATCATTTGTAATTTTATTTAAAACAATTGATTCAAGATGGTTACATGATGAATCGATTATGCATTCTGTTAAAAACTCATCAGTGAACATTTTATTATTTACATGAAGAGAACGAATACGATCTCCGTTTGGAATGATCACGTTTCTATAAAGATGCTTAATCGGTGTTTTTTTATTTTAAACCAAGATTAATTTTTAATGGAAGTAATGAACAAGTAATGAGGTGTTGAAAACGAACGTTAAGGTTCAAAAAAACATCATAGATTTCATAACCATCGAGATAATCAAAAATCTCATAAAAAAAAGTTCATTAGGTAAATTTTCGATACAAGTAATCGATGAACTATGAGATGAAAGAAAAAGTATACAATAAGATAAGGTTTTACTACTTACTTTTCTTCATAGCGTCTTGCTCGTCGCGCTAGTAGGTAAATAGAGAATATGTCATAACATCAATTATATGTCAAACTTACTTCGTAATTTCTGTGTTGTTCCGTCAGACAACTTATTGACGGATAGTTTTCGTTTCAGTGAATTCATGTATGTTCAAGAATCCTATATAATCTGAAATAATCATATTATTCATATGTTATCAATTTTCGCATTCATTGATAGACAATGATAGAGATATTTGAAACCATGTTGGGTGTGGGTACCTTTTCTTTAGCCGCATCTACACCCGCATCTACACCCACAGCCACAGCCACACCCCACCCCCACACACTCAAACTCAAAAAAAAATCTATTTCATCAGTTTATATTTCTCTGCCACCTTCTATCACTTTAGAAAAAAAAATTAAACTAAATTTTACTTGAATTAGATACAAAGATATATTTCCAATTGTACACCATACATTTTCATTTGTATGACTTTTTCTGTAGAGAAAATGGTCTCCTGTTGTGTACTATTCTTCTTCTCTTGGATTGGCTTGGAAACATCGATGCGGAAAAAATATATGCCGCAATTAAGTTTAGATTCTGAAAAAAATGCCTCAAATGATTGGTCTCAGATGAAGCTAGTACACATTTCAATTTTCATCTCATCGTCGGTCTCTCTCAACTAGTCCAACCTTAGAAATATTATTCAAATCACTTTTGATAAAGATAGAATAGCGATCGTCAACATTTATCTTCAGAATGCATAACTAAGACATGTTAACGTGAAAAAATGCAGCGAGACAAACTCAAGATTTCCACTAAATAACCTACAAAAACTCAACATACTTAAAAACCATTTTTTACACTAAATGCAACACAGCGCTGTTTACTTGATAATTAAATTACAAGACACAAAAGATTAAATATTCTTAATAAATCAAATTGTTCTTTTACTTTGACACCGCTACATCCCCGGCATAAGTCAAATCAACAAACCACATTTATGATTTCTTGTTATATTTTATATGGACAAGTTGAAAAAATCCTGGTTACGAATTATGAATATTTCCAGCACATGTAAATGTCCTAGAATTCTCCATGTGAACATAAATCACCGCAAAATTCCGGGCTTTTCTATAAAAATGAGATGCAAGAGTTAAAGATAATGCTACGAAAAGAATGTAAAAGAAAAAAACATTGAAATTTTTTTTTTCTAATTTTGTTCCAACTGTATAATACATGTAACAGAGAGTAAAACAAACTTGGATAACTATTCAGTTTGATATGAAAAAAGATCTCCTATGCAACGATACCAACAAAAAAAACAAAAACGAATGGCGGCACACACTGAAAAGATCAACGAGTGCATTTATCGAGCGTGGACACACATGAAAATCAATATGTTGAAGCTATTTTCTAGGAAAATCGAATCTCCACGAAACGGTTAATAGGTTCTCATTCTATATGCAAGGTCAAAAGAACTCTTACGAGGAAGTGCTTGGCAACCCAAAATCCAGGTTAATTATTTTATCCATTTTTCTTTCTATGACAATCGATGTATGTTGTCTACCAATTTATTGATAATAAACAGACACATAAAGTGATTTTCTCTACGCTTTGATATACTCTCGTATAAAAAAAATAACTTGAATTTCATCATATGCATTATTTTTTATCATCAATGGATTCTTTTGAAATTTTATCCGATTTATTTATGTTGTTGTGTAATTTGTTGGGTATTGGTTGTGCACTTATTTTCATTAGTGTACTGATTATTTATCGTCAATGTCGTAAAATAACTACTTTACTCGTACTTAATTCTATTATAGCTGGTTTTATTGTCAATGTAGTGTGTATTTATCAAGTAATCTATCAGTTAACTAGTGATGGAAATGATAAACTATGTGTATTACGTGGTTTTCTTTTACAAAGTGGATGTGGTCTTCTGTACCATACATTTTGTGTTCAAGCACTTCATCGTTTTTTTGCTACTGTACCTGAACGACGACAATATCTTCGATCGAAATGTGTTATTCTATTCATTGTATTATTACAATGGTTTATTTCATTGACCTTTAGTCTTCCCATTCTTGTTGGTGGCCGAATCAAATTTCAAGCAGGCTATCGTATTTGTCAGGTACATAGATTTAAAGCATTTTTTTCATTTTTTTTCTAAGAATAAATTTATTTTTTAGGTATCAATGCATGATCTATATGGTTTTCTTTATCTTTCAATTTGGATTTATTTTTTTCCATTAGTAGTAATTATAGGAATTTACATTCGACTTTTAATATATATCAAACAAAATCCATATCGTTTGGTTATTCATCAAAATATATTTGAACGACCAATACGACAACGTGAATTTCGTATTTTTCGTCATGTTATTATACTTATCTTTAATCTTGTTATTATGCGTTTTCCTAATCTTTTTTTCTTTCTTATTAGTCAATTTAGTCATATAACAATTCCTTTTTATATAGAACGAATCTGTCTCATGTCTATTTCATTCGGTCAAGGTATTACGATGTTACTTTGCTTGATTGATAATCATCAGATTCGAAAATGTTTGAAAAAGGTAATTAGAAAAGCAAAACGACGATAATATATCAATTACTAAATATATTTTTTTTGTCACTAGAAATATTCAACAATAAATAGATAAATTTAGTTGAAACCATACTTTTGTATTATGTTTATTTATGCACAAAGGAAAATGTTATATTTATTGAGAGGATCTAAAAGAAAATGTTGGCATTTTAATTCTTCTGACTTCTTCATAGAGCAACAATAGTAATACAATAATATACGACTTATGATTATCTAATAAAAAACAGATGAGAACAAAAAGTATAAAGTATTTTCGGCTGCAAAGAACCATCAACAAAGCAAACTTACTCAAGATTCTTGAAAATATCCATTTTAAATCATGAAATTTTCCAATGAATCATCTTCACCCAATGAGACTGTCAGATTTTAAATGAAGTATCAAAGGAAAAATCTATTCTATTCATTTGTAATATTATTCTTCATTCAGTACAAAACAAAAGAAAAATTAAGATAATTCTTCAATGTAACCATATCTTTCGCTTACAACTACTTCTGACTTGTTAAAATCGAGAATTTTATATGTAGATTGTCTCCTGTGGAGAGACAATTTAAAAGTCTGGAGAACTAGAGATCTATTTTTAGGAGCGCAACCACATAGTGTGTACTAAAAAAGTCGTAGACTGCACGAGAATCACGGTGATCCTGAGAGAAACACCGTCACATCGTATAAAATATTAACAGACATCATTTCAATTATGTATACCAAAATCATGACAATAAACTGTTTTCTTTCCTTCAAAGTAAATCAAAGAAAGAAGTAATCATACTTATCTCGTATTAGTCGTTTACATTATTTAATGCTGTTTACGGGTGGCATCTTAATCTTTTACTTTACTTAAAAAGTAAAGCAAAGTTACCATGACCAGTTACTGCGTAACGGAAAATTCGTCATTCAAAGTTTTCGATAGGTAAATAATGAATTTGTCTAAAGTTTTATCAACGGTAAGCGAAGTCGAGAAATCTGACTCTGTAATCAATGTGTCACTTGTTACCAATTACCCCGTAACTTCCTTCCCCTACTGAAAAATCCTGAGATCTCTTTAATACCATCTTCATTAACTGCTTCTGTGTCAAAATTCAATTTGCATGTAAGCACTATAGGATTTCTTGCTAGATTTGTTCTATATAAGTGTAATAACTATCTAACACTTTATTCTTTCGAACAAAATCAAGAACTAATAAAGAATCAAAAAGCAAAGTGTTGTTGAATCATTTCTCAGCATAAATATGTTTTTATTGGATTCAAAAAAACATAGTTTTGTCGATGTGTTATGTATTTAAAAGATAAAGTGTCGACTGATCTTGTAACAACATATCATCTGTCCAAAGATAATGAAAATAAAACAGTAACAAAAAATTTTTATATTTAATAGACCTTGCTGAGATTTTGTGACTTCGCCGTCTATACATATGGTTTGTTTTACAATCAGATATGTTTTCAATTTTAACTTTTATAGGCATAGACATTCGATCTCAACTATGTGCAATAAAACTTGAAAGGGACATCGAACGAAGCAATAGAAAATTCATGCAAATTGCTTGAACTATTCACGTTTTTTCTTTTTATCTCGACAAATATGTTTAATTTGAATTAATTTTTATTAGAAAAAATAACTTTTCATGTTGTATGCCATTTATACAAAACAGACTTCGACATATACATATATATATATATATATAGAAATTTTCACTGTATTACATTTTCTATTCAATTATAATCACTCGTTCTTCAATAAAATTTCTTCCATTATCATTATCATCGTTTAATCTTAAATCTTGTCTAGTTGTTTTTGTTGGTTGTGATTGATGAATAAATTCTTTTAATGTTCTTTCCGTACATTTTGCTATAAAACGTATTAATGGTCGAACATCTCCATCATTAGCTTGATTTAAATGCGAATAATAAATAAAACGTTCAGATTTTTGAATAATTACGGGCGGAAAACCAAATCTCATTAGAATTAAATTCATTAATAAACGTCCTGTTCGACCATTACCATCAAAAAATGGGTGAATATAAACAAATTTATAATGTGCTATAGCAGCTAATTCAATAGCATGAAGATCACGTGTATCTTCTAATGAATTAAGCCATTTAAGAAAATCATCAAGATATTTAGGTACTTCATCAGCTGCTGGTGGAATAAATGAACCAACATAAACTTGATGTTTACGTAATTGACCTGCTTCAATAGGATCAATAAAACCTAAAACTCGACGATGAATTTCAAGTATATCTTCAAGTGTTATGGAACCAAGACGGTTTACTAATGTACAATTAACATATTGTAAAGCTAAATCAAGACCAAGAACTTCTTGTTGTTCAATAAGTGATTTTCCACCAATAGCCAAACGTGTTTCAACAATATATTGTGTTTCACGAAGACTTAATGTATTACCTTCAATACCATTCGAATGATATATATGTAAATAATAAGCATCACGTTTTGCTCGTCTTAAATAAGGATTTTTATCAGGTATTCGATAAAATTCTTTAAGAAGATTATCAATAAAATTAAAATCTTTTTGATCAATTTCTTCGACTAATGGTAATGTACGTTTTTTCAATTCTAATGCTCGAAGATGAGTTGGTTGTTTAGCAAGTGCACGTGTATAGAAATGTTCAGCATTTATTAAATCTTTATGATGATGTTCAAGATATTGTCCATATTCAACAAGAATTTCAGAATTATATGGATCAAGACGTAATGCATGTTCAAATACTTTTCGTGCTTTATTAAATTTATTTGATGTTACTAAATTAAGGGCTAAATGTAGAGCTGTTTCAGCTTCGTGACGACGATCTAAAATTAAAGAAAAATCTATTGTATATATATTCATTGTAAATACTAAATAAGAATCATTATAAATAGAGATGTAAGTCAGCGATTCAAAGTTTTTGATACGTCTGTTTCCAACAAACTAATCGCTTCTGAATTTGGACTCTGTCCATAAGAAAGATATTAGGCAATTGATCAATTGATAATGTTTCTTCGTTGGTTTCATGAAATTGTGTTGCCATTCGCAGCGGCTCAATTGACGCATGACCCAGTTTTTTTTTATTTAAAAAGAATATTCTAGCTTTTTAAGACTTCGAGAAAATCTTAGGTCTAGAAAAATGGTCAATCTTGAGTCATCTTAGAAGAACTCTTACTCTATCATTTTTTATGAAAAAGTTTGTATTATCTGCATTCCTGTTGGAACAAATATGTCTACTTTTTCAACTAAAGATTTTCTAAAACAAACAGATTCAAACTAGTCAATGCACCCACTTTAGCACAGTTCCAAATTTGATGAAACTTTCATAGAATGTTTTTCACTGTCCGACGCGGCTATTCAGTTATCTTAGAAGGACATATTTGGAATCAGTACAAAAAACTACATGGAATGATGTGACGTTTACTAATTTTTTTGACGAAAGTTTATAGGTAAAGGTCTCCTCATGCATTTTTCATCGATAATGTTCTTTTAAGAATTTCACTTCTTTTGTGAATTACAGAACTTTACTATTTCTATGACATTCATTTTCGATAGAAAATTGCCTACTATGAGACACGTCACAAAAATCAAATTTATTTGGAAATTCAATATCTCGACATATAAACAGTTCCTTCATCAGCCGATTGGCTTATACCTTTAATCATAAATCTTTTAATCATCCGACAAACAACACTCGCTATCTTTATATAGACTATATATTGATCTCTTCTCTTTTTCGGCGATCAACAAATAGATTCTCTAATCACTCGCAAACAATTGAGATTTTAAAATATTGAATGAATTTTACCATTAGAAATATTTGTTTGTTGTGAATGATTTTTTGTATATGTTCGTTTGTTTTCTAATAATTCTTGTTCTTGATATTGTGTTTGTAAATCATGATGATGTTGGGGAGAATAATACAAAGATGTGATATCTGATGGAAAAAATATATGACTTGTTGATAGTAAATTAAACGATGATGATGAGATTGATAATGGAGATGTTTTAAAAATTAATATAGATAATAGAATATTAATCACAATCGTTGTAAAAAATGACAGAAGAAGAAAAAGAAAGATTTTCGTTAATGATTGACGAAGTTCGATTGAAGAACATCGTTCCATAAGATAATGAAGAATATGACGTATAATCAGAGAATAAATTATTGGCATTTAAGATAGATAATGTTGAGTTATGCATTGTATATAGCGGCGAAAACGCGCGGGATTATTAATTTATGCAAAAAATCATTTTAATGCAAATGATACAATATTATATTATTCACAATTGTAAACGATTCAAATGACAGATTGAACCGATGACGAGCAAGTCAAAGAATGGTGTAAACAGTCAATCAATAAGAACGAAGAAATTATAGATGGCACTAGATAACTATCCTAATAGTTAGCAAATATATATATGTAATAGATTTCTTGAGACAAGCCGAATGATGATATTCATCTATGTTGATTAATAATTCTTGTCATAGTAATAAAATTTTTATTTGTATACCAGACAAAAACGAAATAAAAAAAAAACAATCTATCTACTTTATTAGAACGTGAAAAAAGTTTCAAGTTAATTTATTTTGTTCTACCAAATGTCAAAATAAACAAAGAGAATTAAACGCCAGTGTAAAGTGAAAGAAAATAAATGTAAAGTAAAAATATTGGATAAAGAAGAAGTGCTTTCTTCTGTTGAAGTTCTTCAACACATAATAATGTTGCTGCTGAATATGTTGACCATATAACACCCATTAACTATAATTAAATTATAGAATACATAGAAAAATAAAAATAAAATCTTTGAAATAAAATTTTACTTTTATAAATAATGCCAAATAATGAGCTTTCTTTACTATAGGACTTATAAAAGCAACCAAGAGTAAAGGAAGAAGTGAATAACCAATCGTACCAACAATTTGAGAATAAGATACCTATAAAGAATGTGACACTTTGATTTTTTGTTTTCGTTTTTTTTTTTGAAAACAGTAACACAAGTTAAAGACACCATTCTAAGGTCATTCGATAGAGAACTGTCGATATTTGTACCTCAAATAAATTTCTCCTTTCATAGAACAATCGATAGCTATTGAACTGCGACTATCAGAAAACCAAAACAATTATTAAATCTATGTTTAAACATTAGTTTCGCCGAATACTTGCGATCTACTGAAAGATGCGTCATAAAATGCTGAATCTCTCTATGCTTTTAGGGACAATCTAAAGATTTCTATTGTTCAGTTTAAATTCTACATCATTTAATTCAGAATTAAATTCTACATCTATGGTTTTCGAAAGCATATTCAAAATCTTTCACATTTGAACAATGTCATTAACAGTCTTGACAAAATCTTGCGAGTATAGAGCATAAAATTCTCTATCTATTGATGTGCACAAATCGCTATATATCCGTAAAAGACTATAGTTTAACAGTTAATAAGAGAAGAATAGTGTTTTTGTTCTTCAAACAATGGAAAATCAAACTATTTCATTATTTTTGTGCTACTCGTTATTAAACTTATTGAAATAACCAATTAACCTCTCCGCCAAGAACACGAGCCAAAATAAAGATTCCAAGTGAACCAAAGATCCAAATTGTTATAATCCATGAAACAACCTTTAAAATAATTTTACAATATACTTTATAATTAAAATAATGATACTTACACGAAATTGACCATAAACTGAAAGTAAAGCAAAACAGAGAACAACAAGTAACTAAGAGAAAAAGAAAACAATTTGTAAGATATAATATATTTATATTTTTCTTACTGGTCCCCAAAAATCTGGATTATCACGTAAAAGTGCTGCTCTTTGTAAAGTTCGACTTGGAACTGGTAAAATAACACAACGTAATTTCGTCATTATTTCACTAATATTAATATCTAATTCTTCTCTAGAAAAAATTTTCATCGATATAAATTTAATTTCTTTCTTTGTGCTTACAAAATTGGTCGATTATCATCAGTAATTGAATCATCATCATCATTTGTTGTATCAAGTAACCATCCATAACCTTGCTTATCTAGAGTACCACCAAGCCAACCACGATGACGTATTTGATTGTCAAATTCTGTTTTACCTTCAAAAGAAAAAAAAAAAAACGGACAAAAAATTATTTTTGATAATCAATTATATAATTTAATTAACCAGCAAATCCTTGTGAAATTGGTATTTGTGTTGAACCTGATTGATTATCTTGTGGTAGAGTAAATGTATCATTCATAAATTGAAAATTATCCGAGGGTGGTGGTCGTTCGGATGGAATAGAAAGACTAACATGAGCTGGTTGCTCATTAGTACTCATTGTCAATAGGTAATAAAAGATCTAAAATAATATGATTGAATTGAATGTAGATTCATTTTTTCTAGATGGAAAAAAGAAATTCGGAAGAGACGATTGATCATCCCGTAATACGGTTTCCTTAACTCTACCACTACGTGTAAACTATAGTCAAAGCTGAAAACAAAACAGAAAGTAATTTATAGCATTTGAAATCTGTTTTGTCTGTTGGTAATTTAGATTTTAGTGCTATTGCTTAAATTTATGTAAATTGACTATCTAAAAACCAAATCAAATATATTATCATGACTAAATTAAATGAAAAATACTTTCACAACTGGTTTCATTACTATCTATAAATATCTAATATATCTATGGTTGAAAAATGAGCTAACTAAAATTTCTTTTTTTTGTTTTAGTCATTTAATAATAAATCGAGATTGATATCGATTTTTATGAGCATTTAAAAAGAATTTTCTTAATTGACGACGTGTTTCTGTACTTATAAATTCAATAAATTCTAAATGATATTCTAAATGTAAACAAAGAATAAAATATCGTAATAATGGTAAACGTATAGCAATTATAGATGCAAGCCAATCATAATCAGGTATAAGATCTACAAGTTTTGAAATTGATATTGATCGATAAATACTTAATTGTTCAAGATTAGATACACATCCAAGAAAAATATCAATTAATTGATCATTATAATGCCAATCACTTATTTCACTATAAATTTCAAGTTTTTTAAGATTTGAATGTGTTTGAATATGTGAAAGTTTTAAATATGATTGAAACATTTTTAATTGTAAATAATATAAATTCGGACATGCAGATAAAATAGCTTTATAAACATGAAAATCAATTAAACCAATTTTTAAAATACGTAATGATGATATTTGTGTCCATTTTAAAATTGTTTCAATTGTTTCAAATCCAAATAAATTACAAAATTTTAAATTAGGAAATGTATTAGAAAAAATTTTTTGATAGATAGATGACATATCAAATAATACATCTGGAATTGAAAGATATTCTAAATAAGGTAAAATATCAACATCAAGTTGTTTTAAGAGTTTATTTGTTGGATAATGTAGAATAAGACGACGAACATTTTTAAAATGATGAAGATTAATATCAACGTTGCCAATTGTAATTAGACTATGAATATAAGAAGAAAAAAGATTAATATCAATAGATTGATTGTCTTCGGAAATAGTAAGATGAAGATTATTGAGAGATTGTATTAGAGAATTAAAACGAAAATTGAGATTATAAAATGATTGAAAAATATCTGAAGTATTTAAATATTTGAATATATTGATTAGTACTTCATTTAGTAATGATTCAAATGTTAAGAAATTTTCATTCATGAATAAAAATAATCTACAAGAAAAAAAATCAAATATTGATTTTCTTTAGAATTCTATTTAAACAAACTCATCTTATAGTCAGTACTCTAAAATTCGAAATTGAGCTTGATATCGAATTTAATGAATATTCATACAATTTGTTTCAAAACAAAAATTAAATTCAAGTTTACGTAATTTCGATAGATAACATCTAACTAACTGATTGAACCTAATCGAAATTGAAAATCAATTCTACTATCGTTGAAAAACTGTCAAGCTAATAAATAATTAATTGTTTCAAATTAGATACACATGTAAGAATTCCACTAATCATATTATCGTTCCAAGGTCAGATATAATATCCAATGACAAGTACCATTTGTTTTCGATTAGTACGTAATAAAGTATTGATTGAGCTTCTATCAAATGTTAAAATATCAAATTTAAATGGAAATAAATTTGAACATGTAGAAAAAGCTTAATTTCTTAAGTATCTAATGATGGTAATTATGTTTGTCCTGTGATATTTGTTAACACTTTGTTTATCAACATATAACAAGATGTTAAATTAGGCTAATCACTTCATTGGTTATTTCGTCTAGTTCTGCGCCCGATAGACATTAAAAATAAAGACGACAAATATTTGGAAAATGGTGAAAATTTGTAATGGTCAAAGAGTTAATAATTAAGTCAAATTTTCCAATTGATACGATTCTTTTCCTAAATGCACAATTAAAAGAACAAAAAAAGCCATACTTATAGCCACGAAATAATCATTTAAATGTAATCAGAAATTTGTCTTTCCAAAAATAATTATGACAAACGATAAGATTGATGTTAATCTAAATTATTCGGGATAGTTTAATGACGGTTTCATAAAAATACCTTTTTGACGTATGTATACAAATCCCCTATTGCTTAAAATCATATTCAATCTTGATTACAGAGTGCATAGGAAGAGATGGCGCTCGAGATCAATGTAAATTTATTGTGTTAAATTAAAGATTATATTAGAAATATATAAAATTATGAAATAGTATATTTTTCACCAATGTATTAAGATTTATCGTTCCCTTGGTAATTAATTATTCTTTTGAAGCATTGAAGAATAGGTTTCAATTAAGAAAATTGTGTTAATGGAATATTTTATACAATTTCTTGATTATGGTACTTTTTATTTTTTCTTCAAATACATCTAAAATCAATAAATATCTTTAATCATATTCCAAGTTATCATAAAAGATAAATGTTTTATTTTTGTTTCATAGATGGTATGAATTATTTTAATAAACTATCTGAATTATTTATTGCATTTTAAATGTAATTTTACTCAATAATTAGAGAAATAAATTTATTCGATTGATGAAATTTATTTCTTTTCTCATTTCTTTATTGAGATAACAAACACGTGCTACATTAGAAGAGAACATTATCTATCTTTCACTTTCAGAGACCTATCAGATACAGATAGTAAAACGAAAATGTTTTCGAGTATTTGCTCATGTTATCTTACATTTCTCTGATTTTGTTAAAGAAGATAGTCAAACTGAAATGATGTGAAGAAAATGTTTTATGCTTGATTTCAAATGATTTTTTCATATAGTGTAATTGAATATTTCCGTCTTTTCTTCTCGGTAATCTTTGCTCTATTACAGTGGCATAGTTTCATCTTGAATTTGTTCAGTCGGATTTTTCCTATTGATTTCTCTTGTTCCATTTTATTTATATATATGATTAAAACTTGAAGTTGTGAATAGCTATCGTTAACTTGTACCCAATTTATTTACAAGAGGTAATTGCTGTCATTGATTTGTTGAGTGTTTTTGATACGAAATATGGAACACATTAGGAGGAGAATCTTTTTTTCAAGTTGATAGCGGGCGTTAAGGGTATTTACAAGTGAATTGTTATGATGATTAAGATGCCCAATACATGGAAAATTAAGAGACATATAACAATTTCTAACGGTAATTAGGAAATTGTTAAAGAGTTATAATTGACCTTGTAGAAATCGATAGGACTATTAGTGTTTCATTGTTTTTAGGCGCCATCCTTAAGAATATAGAAGTTTCAATTGAGTCTGCTAAAGATAACTTGAGAAAAACCGAGATCCTCGACATTCTCTTCTTCATTCGATTATTTCGATCTGTGAAACTACTTTTCTCAAAACGAAAAAGAAAAGATATTAGTGTCGGATTGGATGTAAGTGTTAGTTTTGGCCGCTATGAATGCGAGATTCTTCAGACGCACTTACTATTTCACATTCACATCTCACATCCCATATTTCTAGAAAACTTTCGAATAGATATGTTGACCATGTATTTTTCTATCACATTTCTTCTATGATTCTCGCTGATATTTCTTTTTAAGTTTGATATTATGTTATTTGAACATCACTCAGTTTTATTTGACGCCTTCTATCGATTAATAGCGTAAAAAGTTTTGAATTCGATGATTGCCACTATCTCCTGCATATAAATTAAGATTGCCGTCGAGAATTATTGAATATGGATATTTAAGTAGAGTAGCATTATTTCCTTGTGTGCCAACAACACCAGCAATCGTTGTACCACTCTGTGTTCCAGAAGAAAAAAAACTGAATACGATGATTATAGGTATCAGCCACATACATGTTGTCGTAGCGGTCGAATGTTACAGTAACTGGATAGTAAAACATAGTCGATGTACTGCCGATTGTTGCATTTGAACTTCCAATTACCAACGTCCAATTATTGGCACCTACAACCCAACGAACAATGTTGTTTGCTCCAGCATTAGCAATCACCAAACTGTTTGATGAAGATTCAAAATAAAGACCAATTGAATAATTCAACTGATAATTATTGAGTCCAACCCCATTTTCACCAGCAACTATAGTGCCAGATGATGCACCTGCCAGATAACGAACAACGCGACGATTGAGTGTGTCAGCTATGTAAAGTGTTCCAGAGCTGGAATCACGAATCAAATTGTATGGATAACATAACTGACTGCTCGAATTTCCACAAGAACCTAGAAATAGAGCAGATAGTCAATTATTTGAAATAAATCAAAAGCAATGCGTCTCATAATCTCTATGACCTCGGAGGATCGTTCAACTATACATGATTTACAATTAAAGATGGGATCTTTTCCTCGAATTTTCCCTATTTCCTATTTATCTTTCCAACTGAAAACGAACCAACTAACAAATGCGTCACGCATGTACAAATAATAGATGAATCGAATGAAATAAATGAGGAATGAATAAAAGTTAATGTCTTATAATTCTTTGTGGATATTGAAAGATTTCGATTTTGTATTTTTGTAATGCTTACTGTTGAATATAAAATTATTTTTGCATTTAGAACACCTAAAATGATTGATCGAAGAGTATCTGCTATTTTCTTCTCTAATTCATTGTTTATCTTTTATGGCATAATGTGACAGACATCTCGAGATAAGAAGAAGAAGAAAGTAGAATTTTATAGTTTAAAAGACCTGTTCAACAGTAATGCTTGCCTTAAAAATTTTGAACTCTCGAACATCAGCTTTTTACTTAACGATATAGAGTACAAGTAACGCCGATCGGATACCGACTCGTTTCTCCAGAGACTCACAGAAAATGAAGCATGGTATTAATAGTAGGATCAAAAGAAGGTTTCGTCTTCTATTGCAGCTCATTAGATTTCGTTATTATGATGTATACCGACGCTTTCATTCTGTTTTACAATTACAAATTTTGCATAAAAACTGATTAAAATACCATCAACTAACTTCATTTGTACATAACGACCGTTTCTCAGTCGATCATTATGTATGAGAAAGTCGAGTGGGGATATGTCAAAATATCTGTTACCATGTGAGAGAAATTCTATTTAAAAAATTGTTTGGTCTATCTTGGAAGCAACTGTAAATATCGTGGGACCTACGATGGTCTCATCTATTTAATAAGTAAAGTAGTAGATATTCAGCTATCAGAAACTGAATATCCTTGAACCTAAATTACAGTTCAATTGAACTCTGTTTTTACTATCGAAAGCATACATATTGTATTTTCTTACGCGTTAAGATGCATCTAAAATAGTTCCTTTTCAAACATTAACCGTCGTAAACAAGTAATTATGGTATTCAGCTATAATGAAATCTCTTGTACGATGAAAAGCAAGAAATTTGTTATTTCAATCGAATAAAAACTATCAATCTTGAGCTGAAGCAGGCCATGGGTGACAATTAAAAATCTTAATCTATCCTGTCTCAGTCTTAATTAGTATTAAACCCATTATCTCATTGAAGGATATAAACATGAATGATGTAACTTACCAGTCCCAACGACTGTTACACCTGTAGATGATCCACTTGGCCAATAGCATTTCTTCTGTTTTCATTTCCTATTGGATTATTCCTACTTTAATGTTTGAAAAATCAAAATAAGATTTATAACGAATATGACATATTTCGAAAGAGTGCCATCAACATCATTTGATAATGCATGAACTTAATATCTGTGATTCTATATTAAACTTAACTTGATGACTTAAAATAACGATGCTTTCTCAAATGTTAGTGATAACACGCACTTCCAAAATAACTTTTTACTGAGATATGTTCCTGCCATTACAGGTCCTGTTTTGACTTTTCAAACATTAAAATAGTCCAATTCCATAGAAAATAAGGATGTTGAACTCTAAGATCATTCATTATTTATAGAAATCCAACCGAGGCTCCTATAATCGATTGAAACAGTTTCTCAACATATGATCTGAATAGGACAAGAATCAGTATACATCTCAGTTTGTGTTGAGATGTATCAGAATGTTCACGATACAGAATTTCATAACACACACTTCCCTTTAGCAGTTGTTTTCGTTCCTCAAGTATGTTTATTACATGTAAGAGTCGACATAATCAATTTAGAAATGGATGGAAGGATTGCATATAAGCGGAACTTTACATACTAATTGTAGTACTCATCTGTGATGATTTTATTTCGGAATGATTTCTATTGTACACGAGAATAATACATATCGGCGATATAGACGTTGCCACTTGAGTCAACAGCGAAACCGCCAGCTTTGCTCAAATAGTAAGAACTTGAACCGCTTGTTCCGTTGGCTTGGCCTGCCGCAGTAGTGCCAACCCAGGTGTTGGACGCCCATTTCTGAACTCTACTATTGTTTAAATCTCCGATATAGAGTGTATTGAGCGAATCCAATGCTAGAATGAAAGGATAGTTGAATTCATTGGCAGCTACACCTGGCGTACCATTGCCTGCTATGGTGATACCAGTGGAATTCCAACGAAATGTCACCATTGTAAGTAGCTAAAACGAATATAATATAATGATCTTTTCCTTCGATCAAAAGAAAGACCTAAAAACTCTCATTTGTTGATGTGCTTGCGGTTGTTGTCATTAAATTTGTCACAAGAGTGTAAATATTCATTGCCACTGCTGCCAAGCCAAGTACACCGGCGATGATACCAACAGCACTTCCCAACGTCAATGGAAAATTCTTTTTAGTCTTGGCTACATTCATATCTGGGTTGCTACAAACAATGAATGAGATCATTCAAGCTTATCGGTATCCATCGACTCGTCTCACTCTCTCTTGGATTTCAGCTCATTGGTATCAGACAGCAATTGTGAAAAAGACGATGATTGATTCAAATTTTTTTCTTGACTCCCCATCAATTGAGTCTTTGAAGTCGTATCAAGAACAAGAGAACTTGATAAGAGTGCCGATGGACTGACTCGTGATCCTGTCATTTTCATCCTTCTGGGTGGTTCTTGATCATAGATGATTTTGATCTGCAATGAAAAATAAAAATACATTATTTTCGATTATCTCGCTCATATAATATCACTTTTCTTGATGACAGGACTCTCTTTGGTTTTCGAACATAGCCCAACCGAATGGATTGAGGGTTCGACATCAAAAACTGAGTCTGCTTGCAACAATACGATGTTGACTATTGTGATGAATGACAAAAGAAAAAACCAAATGAATTCGATTATTCTATGCCATACATATTGGTTTTGTTTGATTTAATAAGAAAAAAGAAAGAAATTTCATCGAATTTAATGACACCATTCGATGAACGTACATCCCAGCAGTATCATTTCACCGAGAATAACTCGAAAGAGAATCGATGCTATTCTAACACTCAAAGCTTACGTATTATTGCATTTCTTGCAATTTTCTCCTAGATACTTGAAAAAAAAACATTAAAATGATGAAAGGGACATAAAGCTTTATGCATTTGAAATATTTTCATCAACTTTATGTACTCATGTCATCATTCGAAATAAAATTCCTTACGGCAATCGAAAACGATCGGATACTAACGTCGATGATAACGTACACATTAATCGGGTAAAATACGTTATTTTAGCTCTGAGCACCTGAAAAAAAAAGGATTGTTTTTCTTTTCTATGAAAAGGCTTTGAGTATCTAATATGCTGATACTCGTAGTCAGCGCACTTGGCTTTATCAGCAAATACACATTCCAACGGAATTCAAGATTAAAGGTTGTTCAAAGACGCACGTGAAAGAGCACAGCTGCTAAAAATCGTTTGATCATCTGTGCAAAAACTAACTTGCAGAATATCATCATGTATTAGGTCTTAGTGTAAATCAATAAAGAAAAGTCAATTTTGTTGGGAAGCAGAACAATAGTCTTGTCTGCCTTCGTCCTTTTTAATATGACCGAGCGCAGGGGAAAAAATAACATAATAACTATTGGCGTCATTGACAAGCATTCGAAATTTTCTTGAGTTCAAATCGAACAAGTATTCTTGCTCTCATCGAATATATTTGCTTTCCTCTACTGACTTTTTCAGTTAGAAAAAGCATTAATCAAAACAAAAGTCATCAACTAGAAATGTTTTCATATCCAATACCGTATAACAGAAATTATATTTGGGCATGAATTCTTTTCATTATTTACTTTTCATATTGGATTGAAGGACATTAGTCATCGACCAAAATAATCAATAATTTCATGTGGAATTCAAACATTCATACTCATTTTCACAATGTACACAAGAACATTGCATCAAACTTTTGCCACCTAGGCAGTAAAATTTATGTCTCAGTCATGTAAATATTAAACAAATTTTGAATTTTTTCTTTCTTTCAACAAAAGAAAAATTGATTATGAAGCCATATCCCATAGTCGATTGGCTTTTGTTTTGGTACTTTGCTACTACACTCACGTCAATGGCATATATGTTTAATTTTCATCAACGCAAAAAACCAAACATACAGAATTTTTCAAACATTTCGTTAAATGTTGCGACTTTTGCAGCAAGATAGTTTATTGAGATAGCGCTTACCTTAGATTACCAATTCAGTATTTCGTCTTAAGTGCTATCGATCATTTGACAGTATCTAAAAATCATCTCTGTGGGTCTGTGTGTGAGCGTGAACGAATTCAAGACACTCAAAGCACCAACACCCACACCGAAATCAATTCCAGAGAATCATCGACAAAACTTCAGAAGAAAAGTGCGGAGGGGACGTACAAATGTGTTTTCAGTGAAAAATTAATTTTGATAAAATATATATGGTCTGGTGTAGATTTTCACGGTGATTCTGAGTAAGCTGTTTGTTTTGCTTTTCAGCTTACGTTAGTTTTGATAATAAAAACTGCAATAAGCACGGCTATTTTTCGTCAACAATAAGAAAAAAGTCTGAAAAAACTAAATAGGTACTTTTGTAGCTCAAAACAAGCTGATTCAAATACGATAAGGCATTTGGTCTAATGTTCTCTCACAAAAATACTAGATAAATTTACAAAAGTGTTGAGGGTGCGGATGTGGGCGGGATGTGGTTGTGAGAGTTCTTCTCTTTCATTCACACTGACACCCATAGCCACATCAAGACACCCACACCCTCTCGAACATTTCTGATAAGAGATGAGTCAGTCTGATAGAGAATAGAAAAAAAATTCTTGAATTTATCTACGTCACTACGAACTTTAACAAGGTTTTAAAGCATTTTCACGAACGTTTCAGATGAGAAATAAGTCATTGATGTAGAAAATAGAAAGTGTAAATAAATTGTTTTCAATTTGATTTTTAAACGTGTTTGTCTTATATAGCATATATTTTTTGATGATATTCAACTGCTTTGGAATAATAAGATAACACACCAAAACAATATTTTCACAATCTTGTTATGCATAAAAAAAATAATTAAAGACACGAATCAAGTATTGTAATTTGATATTCTTTGAGAACTTTGCTTTATTACTAACGCTCTATAGCTTATCTATAATTGGTGTTCTATCTTTTTTTCTTTTGAATACGTGTTTTTTGGGTGAGATATAAACTCTTGGCAGGTCTTCTCATAGTATGACTTCACGACTCTTTCGAGATTCAGTTGCGACTACTGAGTTGTGATACTTGGTTCAAAACATATTTGAAAACACTTTGAATCATAAACATTAATTTTAATCTTAAATCAGTTTCAACAGGTTTTTTAGAAAGAGTACATCGAGTTGTATTTAAGACAGACTCTGCCGAAGGATCATTCTACTTAATCATAATTTTTTTGGGGTCAGGAGAAGATTAATGACGATCCTTTTATGAAATACGATCTAAAAGAAGTGGTTAAGTGTATAGTGGTAGAAATCTGAACCTCCTGCCCCCAAGAGAGTGACAGACAAGTTACTTAATTAGATAATTAATTAAGGTGGACGCAATGCAAAATTTGAGCCGTGTTTATTTTTTTGATTTTTATACATGGTTTGAAGGAGTTTGGCTCGCTGAATCCGAATATATATATAATATGTCTACAAAAAAAATTTTTTTGATATCAAAAACTTAAAAAATCCAGGGCTCTGAAAAATCGTCATTTTTGGAGAAAACTACCTACAACCAATTTACAGAAGTTGCTATAGCTTTCAAAGGTTTTTTTTCTTAATATGTGTAATAAACCGATTATAAAAATATCATGCTAATGATCCAGCACTATATATATGCTTGAGAAATGTCGTTTAAGTCAACAACTCAAAAAAACCACTTTCGCTAATGAAAAAAACATCAAGTCATTCTTAAATAGAGATATAACCTTCATTTCACTACTATTAGATTCGCCGTATCGAGCTGATGAAAGTTAAGCATTTTTTTTGCTTTAACTTCCTTTCTTTCTTGAGATATGGCATTTACTTTTAGAATATCTAGAATCGAGAGCTGATTGGTGAGTTAAAAGAGAAGATTCGACTAAAACCTAGTCTTTTAGTCTTTTTGCAGATTAAAAACGATCAGAAATTTAATGGATATGCTTTCGAGATTCTTTGGAGTGATCTGACAGAGCTCAAAGTGATAATTGGCTAATTTTAACTCCGATTTCTGCTCTCCAGTTTTGAACATACTTGACCAGTGAACTCTTCAAACATTTTATTAGTTTTCATATAACTTTTCAGCACCTGAATAGCATGGCACGAATTGAATTTTTCCTAATAACAGTGAACAAAGTATTCTTCTTTCAAAGAAACTACTGTCTTCAGTCATCTACGTTTGAATTTGTGAATTGACAATGACGTTGTATAGCACCTTTGCACAATAGCTAACCTATGATTGTAATACTTTTTCAGATGAATCTCCTCGATCATAAGCTGCTAAGGTTCTCTAAAATCTTCTAAAAAACCTGATTGCAACGTTTTCCTCGATAAAGTTAATTCTGGAAATTTTAATCAGATTCACCATCGTAGGAAATGTTTGATTCATTCTTTGCCTGACAAACTGTTTTTAATGTGCCCAAAGACCTTCTATGCTGTGGAGCTAACAGCGACATTTTGAGCAAAATGTTATTGTGATACCGTTCTGTTCTGCAATTTTTCCAGCTGTGAGCGAAAAAGAGATCGAAAAATAGTCTTACATTCTGAAAAGCATTGTATGAAATTAATAGTCGTTTCAATTTTTCCGCTAAGATGAGTAACCCTTTAGATTTTTCTTTATTTTCAACACTCGTGAAATAACAATCAACTATTAGCTGTAGTCCCTTTTCATCTACGTATTGTATCTAATCAATGTATACATATATTTGTATAAGAAAAGAAACACAATAGCAATATATAATCCGACATAAAATGATTATTTATAGAGGAAGCTCAAAAATTTCTAGATGGAGCTGAGACTCTTCAACCTACTCGTTGACTCTGTCATTGAATAAACTACTACATTCTTGTACGAAAATACGTCTAAATAACTTACTATCAAACAATTAAGAATTATCATTTACATTTACATATCACTTGATTTTTCAGCAAGACTAATTAATCCAATCATTTTTTTTGTGGGGACAGGTG